CCCCAAAACCCCAAAACCCCAAAACCCCAAAACCCCTTTGGCAGTTCGAATTATTGAATCATGAGTTGGAGCAGAAAATTTTCCTTAAGAGATTTAAAGATTTTAGCCTATTTTTGCAATAAAAAATTCGAGAAATTTTAGGAAAATTTGGAGCAGAATAGAAATTTTGGCGAAATTTTAGATTTAGCGACTAAAGGAGCATACTTAGTTGTGATGGTTTAGTTCTTTCCCTTGTTCTTGTTCTTATTTTTGTTCTTGTTCTTTCTGTTTCTCTTCTTTCCTCCTTTGTTCTGGTTATCATTGGATGGTTTGTGCTCAGGAGTCTTATTTTCGCCCTTTGGCTTTTGCTCAGTCTTTGGCTTAGCTTCGGTCTTTTCAGTAACCTTCTGCTTCTTCTCAGTTGTGTCCTTCTTCTCAACTGCCTTTCTCTTTCTTTGAGCAAGTACTGCCTTTACGTTGAAGTCATCTGAATCAGAGTCATCTGAGTCAGAATCTTCAAATGGAATGGACTTCTTATTGACAACAGGAGCATCATCTTCAGATTCATCATCGGAGTCTTCGACAATTGGAGTTGGAACTGCTTGTGGTACCTCATCATCACTATCGCTGTCTTCTTCTACAACTGGCTTCTTTTCCTTTTTGGGCTGGACTTTCTTTTCTGGCTTTGGTTGAGCCTTCTTGGCTTTTACTGCTTTCTTTGGGATAATTTCTTTGACTTCTTCATCGGAATCATCCTCTGAATCGTCTTCAATACCCATAGTAGCGTTCTTCAAAGCATTAGCTTTGGCAAGAGCAATGTTGTCCTTAGTCATTGGGTCAGTTTCAATATCATCATCTTCATCTTCAAAGTTCATTTCCATTCCCATTGGGTCCATATCGTATTGACCATCCATGAAGTCGGCTCCAGAGGCTTCAAAGTATCCAGTGAGATGAACGCTAGCTTCTCCCTTACCAGCGAGGGAGAAGGTGACCTTCTCAGATTGTTTAAAATAAAGATCAAGAGAGTAATTCTCAATGGCTCCTTCCTTGAGGTTACCAATGACGAACTTCTTCTCCTCAGTTTGGGCATAAACTCTGTATCTAGCACCCTGTGGAGTCTTCTTTCCAGTGACAAGAGATAGATTACTAACATGAAGAGAGAAAGCATCTCCTTCTCCTGATTCATCAGGAGTTTCTGGATGAGTATAGCTCTTTGAAGGGGTAATTTCAGCAGCCCAAAACATCTTTAATATTATATAAACACTACAATAACATATCCTTTTGAGGGGTTTTGGGGTTTTGGGGTTTTGGGG